ATCCTTGGGCTCCAGCCGATGTGGGCCCAGGGTTGGGGGGGGCGCAACGACTGGGAGGGGACAGAAATGTGAGAGTTTGCAAACGCCAGGGAGCGGTCCTAAACGTCCTGACGCTGCGCCTGGCTCGTAAATCCTTTTGTCCTCGGGCTGGGGGGAGCGCTGCCTGACAGGCTCCTCCTCGGAGCTCAGCGGTGACGCCGGGGGCGGCAGGGTGCACGCCAGCGCTGCCTGACGCGGGCTCCTGGGGAGCGCGGTTCCGCCAGGGATCCGCTCCCGCTGCAGCGCAGCCCGGTACGCTTCCTGCCCCGGTTTTCCCCGTCTCCGGGAGGCAGCCAAGTCCCGTCGCCGAACGGGAGCCGCGTGCCAGACACAAGGAGCGCTGGAAAAGCCGTGGATTTTTTGCGTCCAGCTGGCAGCACGAGAGAATTCGCTGAATTCAGCCCAATCCCGCGCTGCTTTGTCCATCGTTCACCCTAATCTTTGATTTTTTCCCCCCCTAAACCTGCGCCGGCGCGAGTGACCTGTGTCCTTGTCCCCCCAGGTGCTCTGTCTGGCAGTGGCCGTCGGTCACGTGAAGATGACGGAGGACGAGCTCGTCTACAACATCCACTTGGCCATCAACTTCCTGGTGTCGCTGCTGAAGAAGAACTGGCAGAACGTGCGTGCCCTCTACATCAAGAGCACCATGGGGAAGCCCCAGCGCCTCTACTAACCCGGTGCGAATAAACTTCTCCGGACGGCTGGTGGTTGTGTCCCTCCGGAGTTTCTCGGGAAGGGTTTGCTGCCCAGACCGCCCCCCGGCTTCCTTGGGGCAGGAGGAAGGTCTGGGTTGGGCTGTGGGGACAGTGAATTCCGGTCCAGCGGGAGGTTTGGAGGGAAGGGATCCTGGTGATCCTGCGTTCCCGGCAGGGATGGGGGTTGGAGATGGCTCCGCTCGCATCCACAAGCCAAACCGGGCAGTGGACCGCTCGGCGGCTGTGCTGTAGCCCCCCGGATTTCCCCCCCGGGCCTGGGGAGGGGTCCTTGTTTGCGCCGTCGGTCTCCTGACGCCCACCCTGTGCGTGGGGCTCTCCCAGCCCCCCGTGGGGCAGGGGGAGCTCCTGCATCTGTAGGTTCCCGCCACCCCCCACGGGCTGGGATGCGGGATCTGGGCCAGGCCGCAGGATCTGGCCCGGCTGCGGCGCTCCAAGCCTCGATGGGCCCAGGGGATCCAGCGGAAGGGAGCTCAGCGCAGAGTTTGGGGCCAGGGGAAGGAGTTGCCAGCCGCTGTCCGCATCCCGGGCTCGTGAAGGTGTGCGGATACCTGCGTCAGGAGGGTGTGGGGTTTGAGCTTTTGGGGTGACCCCCCAGTTGTCCTCGAGCAGGGCTTGTCTGGGCATCCGAGGGAACCGAACCCTGGCAACGGCTTCGGGTCCTGCCGTTGGGAACCACTAAAAAAAGAAGCGTCGGAGCCAGATTCTGACCCAGAAATTCCATTTAATAATTAAAAAAAAAAAAAAAGACAATACAAAAATGCAAACATTTCCTTTTTTTTCTTACAAAGTTTTTCAGATACATTTTATTTTTTTTTCCTTTCGATCGAGTGCAAATAACTTGACGAGCTACACCTTCCTCCACGCGGATGGTTCCCGCTGAGCCGCGGCGAGGGGCGGGGCCCCCAAACCCCTCCCAGCCTTTCAAACCTTTTCTGAGTGGGTGGGTGAGGAGGGGGGG